TTATGAATTTTGAATAGCGGTATACTACTGTTGCCTTTATTTACAAATGAAATCATAAAAAAGATGAAGTATTTATTTCATTTCTCTGAAGATATCTATCTAGAGGAGTATTTTTTGTAACACAAATTCCATCACCATTTTTATTCAATAACCTTGAGCCAGACAAACTTATATTTTGAAAATAATGACTTGATCTATATAAAGGTAGACTTGAAAGTTCATAAGAAGCTTCTACAGCAGAAATATCTATTTTGACTGTACTAATCAGAAGCTTCGTACAGTAAGACTTAGCTGGTGCACCAGTAGATTCATCTGCACAATTAACTAAATCATTTAAGAGATCAACCACTGCACCTGTAGGCTGATTACCCTTGCATGCATAACCACCCACATATTTTTCAGTGGCAAGAATATCATCAACAGATGGATTGTCTGCATCACTTTTCGAAACAATTAAAGAAATATCTCCATTGGCCCGCCAGCCCTGTGAATGAAATCTGGAATGCTGGATGGTCTCTGGCCATTTCGAGACGTAAAGAGCCATGTTTGTCTTTTACTATGACAGGGGTCTCTCTTAACTGTTTTCCAGGGGATAAATCTGTACCAAATTCCATTCTACATTGTCTTTCTTTACCCTTGTTTGATGTTAAGCAATAATCTGAACACCTATGTATGTTAAACCGGGTGGTTAAAAGTAAGTGGTCTTCTAATAATGATTCTTGTGATAAACTGACATCCATTAATAGCTTAATTATGGGATTATTGTCATCTGGTGGTAAGGGAGCGGTACCTTCAGGAGGGGGCCATAATTTTTTTTATAGAAAGGCCATTTTCATCCTGCCCTGCCAAAATGTATTGAAGCCTAATCAGACAATGTTGCAGCACATTCTGCAGCTGATAAACCTTTCTCATTATATTCATTTATCAGATTATGTGGTTCCCTGTCAGATCTCCAGCAGAGACCATGCCAGTGCACCATTCCCCTAGACTGCCTATACCAGTATGTTGTGACACCAAAAGCTGGAGACATAACATCATGAAAATAATCATTAGTCCTCAAGTCAAAATATTTTGCCACAATATGTGTATTTCTTTTGAAGGGTTCAAATATTTTTGAGCGGTCAGACAAATCTACATCTGTCCCACTTGTTTCTTTTAAATAAATAGAAAGTAATCTTCTGAGTGGTTTGAAATGGTATTCGGCACAACTACCTGTGTAAAAAAAGCAAGTAGGCCTTTTTTGTCATTAATTTGAAATTGTATTAGTGCCCGAAGTTCTTTAGCCCTCTGCGCCCAGTATTGTGAAGTGCCACGTAATGGTGCCCCAAAGTATAAATTTTTTTTAGCGAGTGAATTGTCACCATTTTGAGATTTTTTCTCGAAGTTTAGAAATAGATACATGTTGTTCTCCTAGCTTTTGGTGTACAACAAAATTGCTATTTTCAATAGCTCTCTTTCTCAAAATCATGTTATGAACAACACATTTAAAATAAGGATTCCATCATCATTCCAGAGCAGATGTTCTGTCCAATCACACATGGAGGAAACAGTTCTAGGTCTATTCATGTAAAACTCATCTGTACTATAAGGAAACAAACAAGGAAAGGCGAGTTTAAAAAATGGTATGTTGTAAATTCAGATACTGGTGTGTTTTCCCTAGTTGGCCAAAGTAAAGTAACTGTACCTTTTTTATTAATTGTAACATCACCATGAGCTTGTTCAACAATAATCACTCACAATATCTTTTACTTTCTTCCTGATATCAATATGTGGGTCAGGCACAATTACACTTGTGTATTACCTTCTATTTCACCACAGTCTATTTGATCAGGGGCAGGGCTATTGTCAGAAATATGAACAGTATTGGTTTGGTATTCAACTGTTTGTGTATCTGATAGTTCACCATCAATAGGCAATGCAGCTAACCTTTCTTTACTAATAATAATGTCAAAATAAGATTGTAATGTTTAAAAAAAAAGAGCAGTTTGTATTTTTAACCTTCTTACTACAAAATCTTTAGATGTTCAATTTTTGCCCTGCTTCCGTACACGAATAATATTAATTTCTTCAGGAAGGCTAGGAAATATTTTGGCTGGTTCATTTACTTCTTGTGGGGAAATGTGCCAATCAGAAGCAATACCCCCATGACCTAACATGTGAACACTTATACAAGGTGAGATTCTACATATAAGTTGTTGTTCAACAACATTTAAATCGGCAAGTTCAGATGGAATATGTTTAGGGTCCATATTGTTTTCTGCTGAAAATAATTTTATTGGTGATTTATCTAAATGACAATGCTTACATGCATTATCTTGTGCCATTTTCATATCCATTTTTCTTTCTTTGCAAATATTACAAAATTTAAAACAATAAGACATTTGTTTAATTTCAAAACTACGAATACAATCCATAATTTTATTAAATTGTTGATTTTCATGAAGAGGTGGAGGATTTGGAATATCTTTTTCATCAATATCTAAAAGTTGTAGCTGTTTTTTAATTATGTATTGCAAACGACGCTTTCTGTTTGTTAAATTATTTTTTCTTTCTAAATTAGCTGGTTGTTCATATTGTATTCCCAGTTTCCTGCATCTCATATATATTTGATCAGCAAGAGGATCATACTGATTGTTAAAAGAAGAGTTTGAATTTACAGTGAGCCTGTTTAGAATATTGTTTTGATCAGGTTATTTGAAATTTGTGAGGAGAACACTGCTCAGCAGTATAAATGTATTCATGATCATCTTCTGTTTGCGGTTTTTCTACATCAATTTCATGTACTAATTCAGAGTCAGTTTTATGTAATTTCTTGCTTTTTGGTTTTGTAGCTGATTTTTTGTGGTACACTTTCTTTTCAAGTTTTTGCTTTTTGGTTGGTACTTTTTTTCTTTTGGTCATGAACATTAATTTGTAGTGGTGAAGTTGGTATAGCCATATGTTTTGATTTCTTTAAAGGGTTGAAATTTGCACCTTATAAAAGTATATCCACATCCGGTAGAGTGAACATGTTTTGATCAGGTTTAAACTGACGCATAAAATATATCCAAATAATGTGGCAGCAGCTTGAATTTCACTGGATGTAGTCCACATACTTCCAAGTAACATGCCCTGTATATACCTATCAAAAGTCATGGTATTATCATCGGTTATCTTAACTCTATCTTCCCATAAAATCAAATTTTCGACAATATGGGAGCATACAATATACCTATATGTATCACTTAAGACTCAAGTCTCCATTTATGATTAAACGTAAGAGAGTAAAAAAAAACAGTTTCCATCTCCTGGGACTGTATAAGATAAATATGTGTCACTATTAATGACAAGATTTGTTGATGGCAGTGAATCTAAGTTTGCCAAAGAAAGTACAGAATTAGCAGATTGTGAATTTGAATTTAATTTTTTTGTTTTATTAACTTTTGAAAGCTTCTGTGAAGTTGGAGACTGCTGCTGAATAGAAATGTTATTGGGAATTTCACCTGCATTTGTCTGTGAGCTTCAGGAATAACCGTGATCACCTACCACAGTATAATCAACGTCATTACCACTGCTACTTGATATGGGGAATTCTGTATCAGATGAATAATAGTAGTCATGGTCAACCAGAGCACCGGATTTTACTATTTCTGCATATGACCTACGTTTCTCCCGAAAACTATTGCTTGCAGAGGGTTTTTCTGTGTTCCCATGGCTGGACGGAACTTTTAGACTATAAATGTGATCAATCATTATGATATTATGACTTTTAAATGAAGTACCTGTAATTATTTTGGAAATTTGCTTTCGCTGTCACTGACATTGGAAAGATGAAGCAGACGATAATCATCACGTAAGATAAGTTAAAGGTTACTTGTTCGTCCAAACTTCGGTTATTTCCGTGGTACAATAAAATTTAAATAAACTACACAAATTACCAAAATTTGTTTATTCTTGTTTTTGTAAACAAATAAAATTATGTCGTATTTAACTTCGAACATCTGTTCTGTCCCGTTTTTTTCAAGTGCTCGATTAAAACAAGAATCTGGCAATCTGTGGTAACGTATCGACAATTTGGTTTGTGACGTTGCGTCAGCATCATTTTACTTTCGATTTTGCTTTGGCTTAAATTTCCGAATAAAAAGTAAAATAACAAAAATACCAAACTCCAAGGAAAATTCAAAACGGTAAGTCCCTTATGAAATGGCAAAATCAAAAGCCCAAACACATCAAACAAATGAAAAACAACTGTCATATTCCTGACTTGGTACAGCCATTTCCTTATGTAGAAAATGGTGGATTAAACCTGGATTTATAGCTAGCTAAACCTCTCACTTGTTTGAAAGTGGCTTAAAATTCCATTATATTGACAACAAAACAAATAGACATAATAGGTAAAAATTCCAAAAATAGGGATACAGCAGTCAACATTGTGTTATAATCTTAATCACTATAAAAACAAACAAATATAAAGTATTCCTCTTTAGCTATTCGGAAGGATTTATTTTAATAAAGATTTTAAAACATGGGAATATACGGAATTTTTCCATTCCGCATCGGTCAAAATGTTCACTGCAGGGTCCCTTATATGGTGTTTGGGCGTTTTGACACTTTCAAAAAGGGCATCTTCTGTTTGAACTATATAATTTTCTTTACACGTTTGGTATGTTGCGCAATATAACAGATTGCGAGTTTTACAGTTCATGCGTGCATTTTCTGAACGACTAAAGGAACTGATTCCTTAAAAAAATTAACAACCGTAAATAACCGCCGAATTTGAAAAGGCTACTTTCCAAGGCTAATCTTACATCTAAAGGAGAAAATGAGGAGATCGTCAGTGTGGACCATATGATTATTTTGACGAAGGTGACTGTGACATCTAAATTAGTAGAAACAAATAAAGTAAACTTATTTAGTTAACAATAATATATATCATCTAGAAATTATTTTAAGTATCATTTCCGTAAAATTTTAATATTTCTTCCGTAAACATTTTTTGTACCCTAAAATATCTTCCCGGATTGAAGAAGAAATTATCATACCGGCTTTGACAGTGTTAACGTGTTTTATAAGCTATTCACAGGTATGTCTAAACTTTTTTTTACAGTTTGTTCGTATTTGTTGTATCACTGTCCCAGGAGGTGGAGGGTTGAGCGCTTATAAACATGTTAACGGTATATAGATATAAGAAGATGTGGTATGAGTGCCAATGAGACAACTCTCCATCCAAGTCACAATTTGTAAAAGAAAACCATTATACCTCGATACAATATTTAAATGTCTGTCCAAAGTCGAGAGCCTGTAATTCAGTGGTTGTTGGTGATTGCTGTCCGTCATATTTATTTTCGTTTATTGTTTTGTCATAAAGCAGGCTGCTGGTTTTTTTCTTCTGTGAATTGTTTCACATCTTGTCATGTCGAGGTCTTTTATAGCCGACTATACGGTATGGGTTTTGCTCTTTATACTCTTTAACTTTTTATCATAAAAGTCCATTTTTCTAAATACGATTAACGTTTACTGATTATGACAAAGGAGACGGCCATAGACTAGTGGGCATTGGTCTCTGTCTAATCCCACCCAGATGCCATTAAAGTAATCACGTTGTCCTCTTGCAACATATGCTCTTTATATCAAAATTTCGTCTTCATTGTCCTTGTCGAGAAACTGCACCGACAAGGGATTAATAATATTAATGGCTGTCATATTTAGAATGGAACAATAAACGAAACTGGATATGTCATTGTAAGACCAACTTTGAGATCAAATAGTAAAATATCACCATACATCGCTTTCAAGAATGTTTTTTCATAAGTCACCATGTATCCCATTTAGGCCACAGAAAAAAGTTTTTGAATAAAGACCATTTATCCTTGGACATGTTGGAAGCTACTAGTATTCAGATAAATATGAAAAAACCAGTGTAAATCTATTGGTACATGTCAAGGACATAATGGATTTGAGAAATGTATATTTTGAGGTAAGAACAGAAAAAAAACCAGTTCAGTTGGTTTCACATTTCAATTGTCAAATTGATCCCATAGTTATGGATTTCATTTTTATTATTACAACCGCTACTATACATTGAATCTAGTCTTACTTTTCGGTTTTGTTCTTTACACTTTGCTAAAAAAAAATTGAATTTTATTTTTTTATTTCTTCTGTCTTTGAGAAAAGTAGAGATCAAGAATATCTACTTAAAAGAAAGAAGCAATTTTAGAAAAGTTAAATCCAAAATATTAAGCAAACAATATAAAATATTTTACAGATCCAAAATATTCTTTGCAATTTGCATGATTTCCGCTAAAACAAAAACAAATATTTTTAATTGCTGACTGTGCTAAGTTTGCACAATTTTGTTCTGTACCAATTTTGTGAATGTGCAATAACTCGAGCCTCAATCTTCCAATCTTTGCACAACAAAATCTGTCATTATCTAGTGGTAATTTAGAAAAAAATCACATTTTTTATTCTTTTGAACAGTGCGCATTCGATGTACAAAACCTTGATAGTTCCAAATGGAGTTGTTACTTTGACAACGTTACTCAATTGGGCGCTTGATTTACTGGTCCTTGATTTTACTTTAAAGATTTTAAGGTCATTAATGTTTTGCAAGTATCTTTTCTGCAAGCTTGCCTTATTTGGAATAAATTGTTTCTTCAGAATTGTAGGTGTTCTTACATTTTCCCATTTCGCTACGACTACAGTTACTGTTCTTATTGCAAAGTACGTATGCAGTTGACATATTCAATGGTATTTTTTCAAACAGTGGGCTAAACGATTGTTTCAGCCTCATGTTCGGCTTGGTTCTCCTATTGTTATAAGCTTTGCCAGTCTCTACACGTACTCCATTTTCTGTACAGAGACATGCAGATAATGGATTCTTGCACAAATCTGATTTTCTGTCACTGCCTCTTCATTCATTTCAATTATTTGATCATTATATTTTGAAATATTAGCTGCAAACTTGGCATCCTAATATTCAAACATGCTAGGGTCATTTGAAAATATATTCCTCCCATTTTCGTTTTCAATTCAGCCAGTGCCATTGCGTCGTGGAGGTAGCCGGCATCTTGTCCTCTGCTCTCTTTTTGCCAGCCTGTGAAAACTTTACAAAACAAAGTAACGACATGTAGAGAATATGCCCATACGCCTTGAGATAACAATATCTACCTTGAATGTGTTCCTGGGCCTGATTGGTATGCACTTTTTAATAAAATCCAGCTTTGAAAAGTTACAATTATGTTTTCTGAAGAGTCCTCTTTTTCTTCTGTTCACTTTCTCGAATGCAATAACGTGTTCGTGTGTGTCGGCACTGTATTCTCTGCTCCGTCATACTGTGCTACTGCAGCTGTGTAAATGTCTATTTCAGGTCGACTGACTCTGACTGTGATTCAATCATTTGGAAGCTCCGCTTCAGTATCTGGTTAAAACTCCAAATCGATATTCCAAGGTGTGTAACCTTTGTTAAATTTATTGTTTCTTCTTGAAAGTTTTCATCTGCGGTCGTTTTGACATATTTTTTTTGCATTTTTAACTATTTATTCTATTTTATATTTATAAGGTCTTTTTTTATGAAATTATCTAGTGCAAATGAAACTATTTGATATATTTATTTTACTTTCTTCGTTGTTCTGTGTGGAATTAAAAGGTTTGATTATCTCCCCCTTGACCACAAATAAAATCTATGGTAAGGTGTGTATTTCTTATTTTATTATGATTATTGATAAACATATAGACAAAAGTTGAAAAGCTTTCTTTTAATTTCTTTTAAAACGATTCCAAATTCTATGTTATGTCCTTAGATGTAACCTGCCGTTCCCGAAGTTCTTTTTCACCAAATTCTAATGTGAGGATTCAGTCTTTTTCAAAACTTTTAATTGACAAATTGTTCGTTATATTCTTGAAGTATAGATTCTAGTACTGACGTTGTTTATCATATTAGTAATGTGTAATATTGTTCTTTATATTTGACTTTGTATATCTTAAAACTTTATACTGTTTAGTCCATTTTTGGTAATATACTTTTGTGTGGCTCTGTATTAATACATCCCGTCATTGTGTTATTTTACTATGGTCATTTTTGTATTCTCGTCTTTCATTATTGCTTATGTACTTTGTCTATATGCCATTTCATTTTTGTTGTTGAAATATTTATTTGTTTTTATAGTGATTAAGATTATAACACAATGTTGCCTGCTGTACCCCACTTTTTGACATTTTTACGTATTACGTCTGTTTGTTTTGCTTACACATTGTTGTCAATATAATGGAATTCTATGCGACTGTCATACAAGTGAGATTTTTAGCTAGCTATAAAACCAGATTAAATCCGCCATTTCCTACATAACGAAAAAACCTGTTCCAAGTCAGGAAAATGACAGTTGTTTTCCATTCGTTTGATGTGTTTGATCTTTTGATTTTGCAATTTGTTAAAGGACTTTCCGTGTTGAATTTTCCTTGGAGTATTTTTGTTATTTTACTTTTTGTATACGCAGCGATCTCGATACTAATTATTTCTTTATTTTAGAAGGTGATACGCTACCTGTGCTCATCCAGCATGTACTAATGTCAATGACAGGGCCACGTTTTTGCCCTTTGAATTCAAAAGTGTTATAAAAGAGGGACGAAAGATACCAGAGGGACAGTCAAACTCATAGATTTAGTATAAACTGACAACGCCATGGCTAAAAATAAAAAGTCAAACAGACAAATAATAGTACAGAAGACACAACAAAGAAAACTAAAGACTAAGCAACACGAACCCCACCAAAAACTGGGGGTGATCTCAGGTGCTCCAGAAGGGTAAGCAGATCCTGCTTTACATGTGGCACCCGTCGTGTTGCTTATAATATTACAAATCCGGTAAATAGTCTAATTCGGTAGGTCACATTCGTGAAAAGGGAAGGATATGTAGTTATGACATAAGGAACATATCCGATATCATCTGTGAAACGGTTATTCCATAACGGTCAACCAACTCGTGATGGCGTCCGTGAAATTTACGAAGGGATGATTTCAACTTCACCATTTGGAACTCTTGGTTTAATAGCTTCCTTGTGAGCAGCAATCCTCTACCAAGTACATCATGATAGGAAATACAAGCCCGGGAATATCGTATCAATTGGGAGATATATACTCCGTATGCAGGCGCTGCTGGAATGTTGCTACATAGAAATGGAAAGTTCACAATTGGGAAGCTAAAATCATCTCTTTTGTCGTAAAGTTTTGTCTTCAACCGACCCTCATTTCTAGATGTAAGTCAAGATACGAGGCAGACTTATCTGTATCTGTAGTATTCTTTATCTTAGTTGGATGGGAAAGATTCGTTCAACATAGTCACCAAATTAAGTGAGAGAACATCATCTATATAGCGGAACGTAAAGTTAAAGGATATTGCTAACTTCATATCTTTCTTCCTAAGAAGTTCCTGTATGAAGTCAGCCTCATAATAATAAAAGAAACAAGTCGGAAAGAAGATGGGCACAATTGGTTCCCATTGGAATTCCGACAGTCTGTTGAAAACACGTCCTCCAAACGTAACAAATATGTTGTCAATCAAGAAATCAAGCATCTTGATAATGTCAGTTTCAGAGAATTTTTTGTTTGAATCAGAGTGATTCTTTACAAAGTAGGATTTATCCCTCCCCAAGACAAGATACTTGTATCTACGTTCGCCTTTCTTTTTAATGAAACAAAGTAATACCAACTCTTTCAATTTGTCTTTTAGTTTGGAATGGGGTTTACTTGTGTAAAGTGTAGAAAAGTCAAATGTTTTAATACTATTGCAAGATGAGAGAGTCTTAGATTGTATGTACTCTAAAAGATCTTTGGAATTTTTTAGTATCCACATCTGATTCACGCCACCTCTAGAATAGGCAGTTTCACAATAACTTTGGAGCCCGGCTTTGATTGCTAATAAAATAAATGTTAATAATTTAGAAAGAGGTTTCGTGGAGCACTTGGAAGACCCAGCAATATGCCGTTGTTTGTGAGGACACTTAAGTAGATTAGGTATCCAATACAGTAATGGAAGATCCAGTTCTTCATCTTTGGTTGAAATTCCAAAGGAATATAGAACAGACCTATGATTATCCAGGCTTTCCTCTTTGGTAAGTGTCGTGAGGGTATATGTCGAGTTTCCAATACCTGTCAATACCTAATTCATTTATCAAGCAATTTATGTAATGATATTTACACACAAAAACGATGTTGTTTGGGACTTTATCTGCGGGGACAACAACATATTTGTCATGGAGGTAGGACAAGTGTTTTGCAACTTTTGGGTCTTTAAAAATTGACGTAGCGTGGGTATTGATAGACCCATTTAGTTTCTTAATTCGGATTTGTATCAACGACCTCACAAAATATCAAATAATATGCTTCAGGTGTTAACAGTTTATCAGATTCCTGGTATGTGTATTTATATTGTTGACTTGTGTATTTCATATTTGCTATCGGCGCTCGAACTTTCTGTATTTTGTGGAAAACTACAAAAACTGACACAATAATCTCGTTAGGTCTTGTCACATATTTTAATTAAAGGATTCTAGGCCTTACAAAAAAGATATTTTGCTACTATTATCTTGTATACAAATGTTAATGTTTAATCCCAATTGCAATTTCTATTCTAAACTGTCCAGATTATATTATCGTAAATGACTCATTTTTTAACAAAACGAGCAGGCTTTTGGTATTCAAGGCTCTTACCAAGCTTTACGTATAAACCATATCTTGTCTCTTACCACAGAGGGTCACGGTTGTTATCTTCTTCATTCCGATCACTCATAGATTTTATGAAAATTAATATTGTTTCCTGCGTTGATTTATGTACCTAGTCTTTTTGGGGCCTTAATAATTCGTTGTTCGGTGTGAACCAAGGCTCCGTGTTGAAGGCCGTACTTTGACCTATAATTGTTTACTTTTTACACATTGTGACTTGGATGGATAGTTGTCTCATTGGCACTCATACCACATCTTCTTAATTTATTACTAGCTGTTTCATACATTATGCATGTATCCCAACGGACGACTTAGGTGTAGAATTTGGTCACAGGTTTTCTCCAATCGGGCAGTAAACTCTATGCTAAAAGTGTGTTGGCTGTAGGGGATGTATAAATACGCAGTCACGCCGGAATGGGGATCTTAAAATCTATATATATGAAAGTTTTTAACGACCTTGATTGGCTATACAGCCCTTGAACGGTCGGTAAATCTTAAATCTGATGGAGAGAGCCACGCTTTATGCATGTATACCTGTTTGAAGGGTACGTAGGTGCACAGTTTCTTTTTCCTATCCAACATACCTCTGTTCTAGTTGCATTCAAATTTTCCGCCCTTCATCCCGTTTGAACCATTTGCAGAACATACATATTAGCAAAAATCATGAAGAATAATAATCACGTCCGTGGAGTCTTGCATTCCAGGACAAGAGGATCTCCCAATGCTATTTTGTTGGTGATATTTATGTGGAAACTATTCAAGTTGTCTTATTCGCGTATTTCCACAATTCAATTTATGTACTCGTCTGGCCTGAATGTTTTGCGTTTTTGGCTACATTTCTGGAACATTTTATAGCTAATGAAAGCATCAATGTTCAGCAAAATAAGATCTACAAATAAGCCAACTCAACCTTAATTGCTGATTGGCTTCTTATGTGATTAATTGCACCTAAAAGATGATTTTTGACCGATTTAGAGGATTTTTTGTTTTGGCAATTATCATGAAAATTATAATAGATGACAAACTGTACACAGCAAAAAATTATCAGTACAACAAATTCTACATATAAATAAAAATGACCGAAATGTTCGATCGAATTCATATAAAGAGTTTATTGCCTTAAAAACAATTTTACCCATTTTTGAGATTTTGCTATTTAGAGACTACAATGGCCAGAGAGACACAGTAGGCATAAAAAATTATCAGCAAACTAAGATCTACAAATAGGTCATAATAACTGAAATTGCCGATCGGCTCCTGTTAAGAGTTAATGCCCTTAATTTATGATTTATTTGCACTTTTGCTGTTTATTTTTGTGCGTTTTGGCTATTACATTGAGAACCGTAATAGAAGATGGAAACTGTAAACAGCATAATTATAATCCAGACAAGTCTACAAGGATGGAAGTGATGGAAATCGTCCATTACCCCACATATGGGTTAATCTCCTTGAATTCCTTTACAATTTTTTAAAATCTTCCATTGGTATTGGATCAAACGTGGTCAAAATTTTAATTGTTTATAAAAGATGACTGCCACTGTTGCCAATTATTTCAATGTTTTGTTTCTAATGCAGAAAATTTCACTCTATTGTAGATTGGGTATAAAAATGTTGAGATTTTTTCAGTCCTTGACAAAGTGAGTCATATGTTAAACTGAACGGGATGTATAAATGCTCAGTCACGTCATTCATGATTAGGATCGTTAAATCAACGACGCGTAGATGCTATTGGAGAATGCAATTAGTTTTGCTGATAGTTGGTTTGTTCCACGATTAATCGGTTGATGTTTTCGTATTTTGCTCATGTTGATAAATAATTTGTAAGTTTAATGTATATAATCAATTTTACATCACATTACGTTTGAAAATATACACTTTCGAAAAAAAAAAATCATTAATATTTTTCTCACATTTAGGTACTTATTACTCAAATATCACATAAATCTAATGAGGAACAAATAAAAAAACCAACTACATGTCTGCTTACTCCATTGTGAATAAATAAGTCTGAAGTTTAAATGTTTCATAAAACACAAGAAAGTATATACAATAAGTCAAAAATGGACTGGACAACAATGATATGATATGATATATTTGAATGTTAATATTTTGACTGGTGTTATTAGGTTTTGTCGCAGAAATGTGTGCCTTGTATGACGAAGTCAGTAGTTCTAAGGTAGATTTGTTGAATGCCTTTTTATATAGACGACTTGACTTCAATATGCAAGAAATGCTATCCAATGAACGTTTATCAAATATTGCAGTAGCCAACGTTACAAATAGCAACAGCAACTTAATGAAAAACTGGTTTTAAAAAGATTGCTATTACAGAGTCGTTCGGATATATAAAGAAGTTATACTTCCAGTTGAAACGTTAAGCAACCAACAATCAATCATACTTCCAGCTGAAATCTCAAATGGTAAGGTACGAAATATTCCCTTACAATATAGAATACAAACATCCCTCGTAATATTGTTAAAAGAGTAAATCAAAAAGACCGAACTCAAATGCAAATTCAAAAAGGGAAAGTCCGTAAAACAGGCAAAATCAAACGCTATCAATCAATGGAACAAATGAAAACAACTGCCATACTCCTGACTTTGTACAGGCATTTTCCGATGAAAACAGATCAAAAAGATATAGCCAATGTGGACTCTTTATCCCAATGCTTACAAGGAAAAGCCTGACGACTTCGACCATTTTTATTTATCTATAGATCTTATTCATGGTCATGTTATTACTTTCGTTCTTTCTACTCCAGGTTCAACAAAACAAATACAATTGATAAGAATAGTCATTGAAAGAAGCAACAACGACATCTTCTAAATACTGACAGACTCTTGACTAGAGAGGTAGAGAGGACAAAAAAAAAAGAATCTGGCTGGTTTTGTCTTGTTTGTAGATCATTTCTTGCCGTTCACTTTTATAAGTTAAACCAAGCTATTATATAGTTCATGATAATAGCAAAAAAAAAAAAAAAAAAAAAAAAAACACAGCAAAAATAAAAATGATTAAGAGACAAATGACTATTGCGGTCTTGTTGACTTATTTATCTTATTGAGCTCACCATTGCTGCTATTTACAGTAGGCTTCATTTACATTAATTTCCGCAAAAAAAAGATAAAAATTTGTCAAAATATCGCAACCAAGGCAATTACTAACTTAGAAGTTGGTCATGTAGACACATTTGTAGATCTTATATAGTTTTTAGCACACACAAAAAACGCATACAGTGGTTAAGAATCGTCATCAAAGGACAGTAACTCGTATAAGGAGTCGACTGACCATTTTGACAATGTTGAATTGTGTGTAGATCTTTTATTGCTAATTCTAGTTTTCAAGAACAGCTGAATTTCAAGATACTAGACGGTTATTACTTCTATGCTCACCAAAGGATTTTCAGTTATTTTAAAACATGCGACCACAATTTTACTGATCGACATTTTACGTCACCTTTAAATCAGTTGATAGGATAAGGTATGCAGTTCATGTGTCAAAATATCTACATATATTCAGATAATGTTAAAGTTCAAAATGTGAAAAAATAAAACTTTATGAAAAATTTCCAGCAGTTTATGTAAACGTTAAATGTTGTAACATTTAATATAACTGTGTGTTTTCATTAGTAGACTCCTATTGTAAGCTGAAATCACTATAAGTTACCGGTAAGTACTATGTACTGTGCATAATTGTACAATCAATTAACGTAGTAGGGTGAACTTAGTATAAGATGGAAAATACATGCATTTATTTATTGTATCTTCGGTGAAACATGTGTTACTGATTTATACACTATAAGCGTCACATAATATCTTGACAGATGCATGTTATATGTGTGAATATTTTTATCGTTATCAATATGTAATTTATTTTTCTTCTTCACAGTGGAAACCTTCTTTTATTGTTTGTGTGAATTATGATATTGAAAAATTCAACTACTGAATTTAACAATGTAACTGGATGTAACGTGACAAATTCGACTGTACCGGAAATAAAACCGTACGATGCAGAAGGGGCGATGAAGTTTACAGTTGCTGTAGTGATGGTTTATGGTGTTGCTGTTATTGGCGTTTTTGCTGTAAGTTATGCTAGTCGACGTAAACCTGTGAACTATGACGTAGACAGACAGGCTAGATATTTTGTAAAAAATATGGATGATGTTCGTACTAACCTAGAAAGGAAAAATAGACTAATTTCAATCAATATGTTACTGAAAAATATACACGGTGGTTCGGTTCAACCTAAAACAAAACAAAAATCTATTCAAGAGGGTATATTATCATATGTAGCATTTCCGGTAATGGTGGTCTCGGGAGGAGCAACAAAGAATTCAAACGAAAGCGAGGACACAAATGTTTCAAGTGCGGTAACGCCAACGTCTCCTATAAACTCGGATTATTTTAGCAGAGAAACTTTAGAAGTATTAACTGAAGAAAATGAAAACGACGAAAATGACGATGTTTTTATGGATGACGATGAAAAACAAAAATCTAAAAGTGATTCATTTGTGATGGTTTCATAATTATCAGCATAACCTATATTCAGTGGTAAGATGCATCATTATCATTTTTTTTTCACAAAATAAAGTGTGAAGAAGTAATAGCTATTTTTAACTCAATTTTCGACGAACGCAAGTATTGATACCGAGTTGCATTGCACTCAGCTGAATACAGGACAATGCCATATATCGCTAACGCAAAATGTTACTTTCCCCGACGTCAAACTGTGACATATTTGGGAAAAGATGCATTTTTGGACTCATTTTAATCATTTACTTGAAAACGAGGGGTCCGTTTTTGGCCTTTTGCAAGGCAAAATTTTCTTACCCTATCCGAAATCCGTGATTTTCTAGTGGCAGTCCAAATTTCCCTTCCTTCTCCAGTCGACTTACAAAGTTCATGCGAAAAAGTACAAATACAGTGTTATCTAACCAATAAAGAACAAATTTTAGATCCCAAATCCATTCTCTGAAATATTTAAATATTTCTCATACAAGAACATAAAACATAATACAACCAAATAATATTTACAGAACATGCAAATCACCGTTCACGTGATTGTAAGCAACTGTATGCCACAGTAGGTCTTCAACAAATAGCAAAACCCACACCGTAGTCATTAGATTGAAGTAAAAAATAAAATTTAAATGTAAAACTTTTGAATTTTGCGTTCATAGAAATAGTGAAAATTACACAAATCAGAAACGGAATTTAAAGTTTTACTTTGATTTTATTTTTTTACAACAATTAATCACCCCAAATCATTAAAAGTCTCTACAAATAATCTTTGGTATGTTCGGCAAATTTAATGACAATAGTTAAGTCAATAGGATGTGTAACCACCTCTCTTCCGGTACAGTTCCATAACACGGCGTCTCATACTCTGTACAAGCCTTCTGAACTTTAGTTGAGCAAATTTATTCCATTCATCAACAATTGCAAAGGTGGATCTCTGCGATTGAGATTTCTGCCAATGGCATCCCAGACATACTCTATAGGGTTAAAGTCTGGAGACATGGAAGGCCAAAAGATAGTGTCAATGGCTTCTTGATCTTTGTAATCGGTTACAATCCTTGCCCTGTGTGGTCTAGCGTTGTCGCCAATGTACGAGGGTCTTGACGCAAGTTGGGGATTCTCAAAATGAGGGAATACAATGTTTCTAAGCACCAAATCCCTGTATGTCTGTCTGTTCAAGTTACCCTGCAAAATATGCATACCCAGCCTACAACAGTATGAGAAGAAACCCCATACTGTAACACCACCATCAACGATTGCTGTCGTTGGGCAATTGTTGTTTTGGTGATTGGCAGTTTTATTTCCCCGCCAAACTCGTATTCTGCCGTCTATTGGTCGTTACAGAAACCAAGTCTCATCTGACCAATGAATATTTTGCCAGGTTCTCATGTTCCATCGTCGATGGTCAAAAGCCCTCTGAAACCTGATTATACGGTGCCTGGATGTTAGGGTTCGTCTTTTGACAACACGACGTGCTCTTAGGTAGCCTCTACGAAGTCGACGGACCAATGTTCGAACACTAACACGACCACCTGGAGGCCAGTGGTGTCTAAACTATGGGGTAGGAGTAAATGGGTTGGCTTTATCACGACCAATAAGTAGTCTGTCATCACGAAAGGTAGTTAAACGGGGACTTCCGGACCTTGGTCTATCATTTACAGTTCCTGTGTCAATATGACGTTGTAAAAATCTGACAATGACGGTGCGATTAACATTGAATTGGTTACCAATGCTCCTAGTGCTCCTACAGACATTTAACATGCCAATTGCTTGTCAACGTTCAGTCACAGATAACTTACTGCTTGTCATATTTCACAGGGACTTGGAGAAGGTCAAATTTCACCTGTACGCGGGACAGTAGGAAGATGATTTAAAGGCATCGAAACAGTGTATTTGTAAAAGTGCAGATGACCTTTAATAAAAGGTTGCTTGGCGGGTATACCGGAGTTTAATTTTTTTGGTCGTAATGAATTTTCTTAGTGTATGCTATAGGCAATTCATAACACCAAACATAAATATTTTTTTCGCAATAGTTAAAAAATATTGACAGTTATATTTAGGTGGTGCTTAACTTTTGCCTCATCTAATTGGTATATCTTTATACGAACAGTTTCAGATTTTCTATCATTACTAATTTTCAAATTATTGAACTTAAAATTTCTGTTACTCAAAAGGACTAATCTATCATTCTGAACTTCTACTAATGAATTGAAAAAAATTATTAGAAATTAGAAATGCAAGACTACCGTTAGTAGACTGACTTTATGAAAAACAACTGTCATATCTGGTGAAAAGACGCAGTTTCAAATTTTTCCTAGCCAAATGACAAACTTTCTAAATTCGGTCTATTAGTGGGCATATTGCATAATTCATGGTCCTCATTACGTGTAATATTTGGTAATGGAAACCTTTCTCAGAAGCATTAGCAAATTATTGGATAACCTGTTGCTAGGTGTTCTCATATTAGCAACCATGAAATTCCTATATATGCATGTCGTGAACATTCATTTATTCAACAAAGTAAGTACCCGTTTCTTTAATGTACCATTGAATTCTCTTTTAACCCGTTGGAAGAAGGCCTATACTACTGGTGGCTCAATAAAAGAAAAATCAGTTTATCAATTTAAAAATGTCTGACCTGGTCTTTAAAGGTGCACCAAATCTCGAGGAAAACTCGTGTATGATTTATTCTGCTAAAAATGCCGGTTGGCTCTTTAAACTGTTTTTCAGAATTTTGTTTCGCACAAGAATGCCGTGAGGTATATAAATATGGTGACCTGGACTTTCGACAACCGGTAGAATTACCATGGTGAACAGGATATATAAATACGTAGTCCTGTTAGGTAAAAATGTTGACAGTCAATTCGAAGCCCGTTTTGAGAGGATACCATTTACAAAAATGTCAATTGACCGGTAACCATTAGAAGATTCCTCATAGAAAATATTGCCCTAAAATGACGTTTTTGGACTATTTTCGTGACTTTGCCTAGTATCTCAATAACTATAATAGATAGGTTAAAACTGTAAACAGCAAAAATGATGAATACAAGATATATTTTTGGCAGGTTTTTGAAGCCTTTTGCTATTTGAGTTTTACAGCAGAAAAATTGGTCTCATTTTTAATTCATTCCCCATATTATTTTTATTGTCTACGTGGGATAATCAGTAGGAACTAAATGGCACTGGGAGAGTTTAATTATAAATGGTTCAGAAGGGAAAGCTTTTGAAAAAGTTGCGAGGCTGATTCTTTTGAGAATAGCTCTTTGTTGTAGGTCGTATGATGACCTGTAATTGTTTCTTGTCCTTAATAAATAAATGTTCTGTATGGAAAATTATCTCATTGGCAATCATAACACATCTCCTTGCTTTATATTTTTGTTAGGTCATAATACAAACCTGTTGAGTAATTCATGTAGTTGACCAATACAAGACTTGACGGACGGGAAAATACCAAGACACGTCTACTATTCCCTTTGAAGAGTTTGCGTGTATTT